GGCAGGGGTTTGACTCTGTGAAGTCATGAGGAGACTTGGCGCCCTCTTAGATGATTATAGAAAAGAAAGTGACCACACCCTCCCCACCTCCCCTGGGTGCATGCCTATGTAATTCAATACCTTGCTCAGTATAAGCCGAGTTGTGCAGAGTTCAAGCTTGGTCGACGGACCTCAAGAAAGAAGAATCACAAAAATTATTTCACTCACCATAGTACGTGACAAAGCAGACAGGAAGCGCTATGCGGGAACGTTTTGCTGCTGAGTCTGGGCACACGTTTTGCTGTCGTTCTTTCACGAGCCCTATTTGACAAGTGTTGTTGCTTGGGTATAGTTAGTCTGGGTTCATTATGGCGAATTTCACAGCGCGAGGGCATAGAAAAAAATGCTACTGAATAGGAAAAAAGCGTTCTTTTCTACTCTGTCCCATTTTTTCTTATGCCCTCGAACTGTGAAATTCACCCTCTTCGACACTACCTTTGATATGCGCTTTCTGTAGTTCATGCTTTCAATTTCTAGCAAGCCTTTGCTGGGAGATGCTTTCACGAAAGCTTATACCATGTTAATAAGAATGACTGACAGTGCGGCATGCGATGCTTGCGGCACCGATGAAAATATTGAACACTTGCTGTGCCACTGTCCTCGATATGCCTCAGAGAGACAAGTGCTTGCCAACGCATTGCGGCGACTAGATGAGCGGCCTCGTTCTGTGCATGTGTTATTACAGCACCGTCCACATGCCTCGACAGCCCACAACGCAGTGAAAGCTTTCTTGTGTTTCTTAGGGAAGACGGGTCTGTGTGAACGCCTCTGACTTGCGGTGTAGTTGTACACGCTGCAGTGAATTTACTGTCTGTCTCTCCCCGATTTGTTTTCCATCTCTTCCCTCTTTTTCTTCTTTCTTGTCTCCTAATCCCCCAGTGTAGGGTAGCCAATCGGATGTCCTTCTGGTTAACCTCCCTGCATTTCTCCCTTTTGTTGCTTCCCCACCTGGCATGCCACGCTGTTTGCAAACTGCGTCGCAGTCAGCAGAGCACAGTTTCGACGAATCAAGCCAACAACGTAAACAGCTGCCGTCAGCTGTTTCACTGTTGCTTTTTTTAAAGAGCAGTACACAGATAAATTGCGATGCAGTCATCATTTTTTGTTTTCTTCTTTTTGTGGGAGGGAAGTATGAAGTTCACGCCAAAATAACATGCCACTTATGCTGAGGCGACCAGGGCAGTGAAGTTCACAATCGTCTAACTGAATGACGCACATTGCTAGGGTAGGTTAATTCGCACCGACCTGTAAATGCACATTCTTTATCTCCGAGTGGCCGTAGCAATAACCGTGGAGGTTAACTATGAGCACCGTGTGCTACAGGATCAGGCAGCTATGATAACAGAGGTTCTTAGGAGGGCTGCACCACTCGTGATGGAAAAATTATCTGACGCTGCTTGAGCCACTGCCGTAACGTGGACATTCAGCACAAAACGAAAGACGTTTAGTAAAAATGTGAATCACGGGTCACGCACCTTGGCGGGCATTAAAAAAATTTATGGGGTTTTATATCTCAAAACCACGATATAATAATGAGGGACGCCATATTGCAGGGATCCGAAGATTTCGACCATCTGGTGTTCCTTAGCGTGCACTTACATCGCACAGTACATGGGCGATGTAATTCAAGAACGTATGAACGATAGTCCTCTGGCCTATCACTTCTATCGAAATGCGACCGCCGTGGTCGCGATCGAACCCGTGACCTTTGGGTCAGCAGCTGGGCGCCGTAACCACTGCACCACCACGGCGGACTTGGTGGACCTTTTCACCCAGCACAGTTCTTGAGTGACTATACGACATTCGACAGCCGACTCACGGATTCGATTCCTGGCTGAGGAGACCTCGTTACAACATGGGTTGGTGTGCAAGCACGCTGGCGTGCCATGCCCCGTGCGGATCAGCTTACAATATCTAAGAGCTACCTGGCTAAGAGCTACTCTTAGGTCCTGCTTAAACTGTTGAATAGTGCCAGGAAACCAGACATTTTTCATCTGTTTTCGTGGATATAGCCAGATTGATGATTGATTGATATGTGGGGTTTAACGTCCCAAAATATGATTATGAGAGACGCCGTAGTGGAGGGCCCCGGAAATTTCAACCACCTGGGGTTCTTTAACGTGCACCCAAATGTGAGCACACGCGGGCCTACAACATTTCCGGCTCCATCGGAAATGCAGCAGCCGCAGCCGGGATTCGATCCCGCGACCTGCGGGTCAACAGCCGAGTACCTTAGCCATTAGACCACCGCGGCGGGGCGCCAGCATTGATTGATTGATTGATTGATTGATTGATTGATATGTGGGGCCTAACGTTCCAAAACCACCATGTGATTATGAGAGACGCTGTACTGGAGGGTCCCGGAAATTTCGACCACCTGGAGTTCTTTAAGGTGCACCCAAATCTGAGCACACGCGATCCTACAGCATTTTCGCTTCCATCGGACATAGCGAGCATTCAACCAGTATTTCAGTACGAGTGTTATGCCTGAGTCCTCAGAAGTTAAGCTCGTCAAGGCGTATTTCAGAGTTTAAATGCAGACAAAATCGAAATGCTAGATGGCGCGCCTGTACTCTACTTTATGGTTAGGTGGCGTGAGCCACCGCCCGATCTAAAGGGCACAGCCGGATACATCCATCCATCTATCCATACACTAAACCAATAAGCACACTCGCAAGTCTTGCTTTGTTCTTCCCACACACCGCTCTCCATCCCTCGCACACGTGTATGATATGTTTATGGTTAGACTTCGAAGGACTAAAAAATTCAACAAGACAAAAAATTAGCCCCGAATCTGCATGCTACACTGCAAATGTAATCGAAAGACGATAGTCTTGAGTCCGGAGAGAGTGAACAAAACGTTTGTTTGATGTTCTGCGCAAGAAAATCAGTGAATTGTGTTCTGGAGGCGCTGCGTTAAAGTGCCTCGAGCGTGTAGCGGAGGCGAACGAGCACGTTACCCCCCCCCCCCCCCCACCCGGCATGCCACGTTGTTTGCAAGTTGCGTCACAGTAAGCGGAGCACAGTTTCAACGAATCAGCCAACAACGTAAACAGCTGCCGTCAGCTGTTCCACTGTTGCTTTTTTAAAGAGCAGTGCACAGAATTGCGATGTAGTCATATTTTTTTGTTTTCTTCTTTTTGTGAGAAGGAGGTATGAAGTGCACGCCAAAATAACATGTTACTTATGCTTAGGCAACCAGGGCAGTGAAGTTCACGATCGTCAAACTGAATTACGCGCATTGCTAGTGTATGTTAATTTGAACCGACCTGTAAATGCGCATTCTTCATCTCCGAGTGGCCGTAGCAATAACCTTGAAAGTTAACTATGAGCGCCGTGTGCTACAGGTTCAGGCAGCTTTGATAACAGAGGTTCTTAGGAGGGCTGCAACACTCGTGATGGAAAAATTATCTGACACTGCTTGAGCACCTCCCGTAACGTGGACATTCAGCACAAAACGAAAGACGTTTAGTAAAAATGTGAATCACGGGTCCCGCTTTTTGGCGGGCATTAAAAAACATTTATGGTGTTTTATATCTCAAAACCTCGACATGATTATGAGGGACGCCATATTGCAGGGATCCGGAAATTTGGACCGTCTGGTGTTCCTTAGCGTGCACTTACATCGCACAGTACACGGGCGATGTGATTCAAGAACGTATGAACGATAGTCCTCTGGCCTATCACTTCTATCGAAATGCGACCGCCGCGGTCGCGATCAAACTCGTGACCTTGGGTCAGCAGCTGGGCGCCGTAACCGCTGCACCACCACGGCGAACTTGGTGGACCTTTTCACCCAGCACAGTTTTTTAGTGACTATACGACATTCAACGGCCGACTCACGGATTCGATTCCTGGCTGAGGAGACCTCGTTACAACATGGGTTGGTGTGCAAGCACGCTGGCGTGCCATGCCCCGTGCGGATCAGCTTACAATATCTAAGAGCTACCTGGCTAAGAGCTACTGTTAGTCAGGTCCTGCTCAAACTGTTAGATATCGCCAGAAAACCAGACACATTTCATCTGGCTTCGTGGATATAGCCAGCAATGAGTGATTGATTAATTGATTGTTTGATTGACTGATTGATATCTGGGGTCTAACGTCCCAAAACTGCCATGTGATTATGAGAGACGCTGTAATGGAGGGCTACGGAAATTTCGACCACCTGGGGTTCTTTAACGTGCACCCGCATCTGAGCGCACGCGGGTTTACAGCATTTTCGCCTCCATCGGATATAGCCAGCATTCAACCAGTACTTCAGTAATAGTGTAATGCTCGAGTCCTCATAATTTTAGCTCGTCAAGGCGTATTGCTGAGTTTAAATGCAGACCGAATCGGAACTCTAAATGGCGTGTCTATACTCTACTTACACTAAACCGATAAGCACGCTCGCAAGCATCGCTTAGTTGTGCCTACACACCGCACTCCATACCTCGGACACGTGTATGATACGTTTATGGTTGGACTTCAAAGGACTGAAAATTTCAACAAGACAAAAATAAACCAGAAAGACTAATCACGTGCTCATGCCGTGCATGTCAATCAGAACCTCTTCGATACGATTCCTGTTTCATACGATTTCTCGATGTCAACGTACGTGATGTTGTTATCGAGCGAAATTACGTGATAATTTAGTGAATTTATTTTTCTAGATTGTAGGTTAACATTCGCATTATTATTTATTTCAAGAACGTATGAACGATGTTCTACTGTTCCATGTGCTTATCGGTGTATGCGTATGCGCCTTGATATTGTGCCTCTTGTTTTAGATAACTGCAGCATTTTTAAAATAAAACTTGTCATGTAACTTTGATCCAGTGCGGCAAAGCGCCGGGAAACCAGGCAGACGCTCCGGCGGTCGACGCTCGCCGCCATTGGCGTTCGCCGATGGACGAACAATGGCGGCGCCAGCGGCGGCGGCGGTGCCCGTGGACGAGCAGGTCGATCAACGAAGACTCCGATGGACGCCTGCACTTATTCCTCGCCGAACTGGCTGCCGCGATGGCGGCGGCCTCTTACGGACTCTCCGTCGGGTACTCGTCCCCGGCGTTGCCCGACATGCGCGGACGGATGCAGTTGACCGAGAGCCAGAGCAGCTGGTTCGGATCGCTGCTCAACATCGGGGCGCTCGTCGGAGGGCTGGTCGGAGGCAAGTTTATCTACGACTGACCTGCGCCTTCGTATTCACTAAGATTCTATAAATAATTTTTGTGGACCTAGCCAGGTGGCATTGAATTTAGTCTCGTCTACTGTGGACAAAATAAAGTTGTCTCACTCACTCCCTCACTTAATCACTCAATCACTCACTCACCGACACCGAAGCTGCTTACCTCTATCCCATGCGCATGGCATATTTCGGCCGGCTTGCGTCCGAACGTACACTCTGCTTGTAGACAAATAAATTCAGAAAGAAAAAATGAAGACGGTGTACCTACCGGGACGCACTCACGCGGTGGGCGCTTGCTCCAGATTTGTGTGGTATGCCATACTGTATAGTAAGATATACTGTATAGTAAGATATAGAACACTGCGAGATAACCAGAAGGTTGTTAGGAGCCTAGAGGGGGCATCGAGTTTACGCCGGAGAAAACGAACGAACAAACAAACAAAAAGTTAACAGAGCAGATGCAGGCGTCCACAGCAGCAACACGAATGCATGCAGCAAAAGCAGAACAGTGCAAAAGTGCATAATGCATCCAAAATATTAAATAACTTCGATGAAGAACGTCCCCGTCTGCAGTCGCTCAATTATGAGAAACGAGTGAACCGACACTGTCGGCAGAAACGCGAATGCAGCTTCACTGATTAATCCATCCCCACATTATTGTTGCGGCGCCTCCCAAGTTTCAATAGTTATTGACGTCACTTATTTGAAACGACAACCTGTATCCGGGGTTTTCACTAGGTGCATTTACAATTATCATTAACGAGTTTATTCGGTGAAAGCAGTTCAGATATATTCAATCAATCCCGCAGTCTGCTATACCGAATGATAGTTCTGCTATGCTCAAAACATTTGAAAAGTATCTGGCACAATAGTGCATTCTGTCTGATTTCATTCTATGCCTATATTTGTCTCAAACACTCCCCGGCTACACATTAAGAGCGCACTCATGTGACGCAAAGTAGTTAATTGTCAGTGCCTTATATTTCGTAGCGCATTGATCATAACGTGACTTTAGCGCCCCTGCTCGTCCACCGCCTCTTTACTTAGGATAGTTTCAGGCAAAATTTTCTTTCTGCACAAAAATCGTACCCTCCAAACTTTACAGCACATTTATTACAGTCCAAGTTAGCAGTTTTGTCGTAGACGGAGAATCCACATCACCATAAACTGGCACGCTGCTGCCTTGTTCCTTCTTCCACTGCTTCACTTCCGGAACACGTGCACCGATTTGTCCAGCGTGGGATGCAATAACTATGATGTACGAGGGAACAAGCACAGATAGAGACAGAAAAGAAAGAGGCGTAAAGAAGGATGTAAATTTTATATTTCTTGGTGAGGCGGCACTCGAAACCACGTCCTCACGATCCGATGGCGAGCGTACGTCGTAACCACTCGGCTATCCTGGCACACCAACAGAACACAGTATTGTATGATGTAATATAGTACACTACAGTAGAGCAATGGGGTGGTAAATGGAAGGTAGGAAAAGATGAGCAGATATCAGTGTGGGAAGGAAGGAAGTGTGAAGGGCGAACGTGTATATATAGACAGAGAAAGCGATAGAAAGGGAAAAACATATGATAGACATAGCTTCAAACAGATCGATTATAGCATGACAAGGGATTGGAAAGCTACGATAAAGGGTAAAAGCCTATTCAAGACCAGGCCACCTGTGTACCTACCAGCTCTGATGTGACCCAGTCTTGCGCGAGTTAGTGCAAGCGGCGCTAATTTTACGGGGAGTCTTTAAAAAACAACCACTACTGTGAAACGCTTTGTGTTCTGTGATAACATTTCTACGTAAACTGACATTGTTCTATAGGCAAAATAATTACTGGTGAAGAACAATGCTCGCAAATATTTTTCAAACACGTACGCTGATCCTTTCGTATCTAAGATTTGCAAACTGGGCAGCCAATTCTTTTTTTTTGCACTCTTGTTCATAAATTTATTGCAAAGAGGGACAAAAAACAGCAGCAGGCGTCCAAGATTAGTAAAGTGCGAGGTGGCCCGCAGAAGATTGCTTTAAACGGTAGAACAACAAGAAAGGCAATTACTTACTTCTATCCAGGACAATCTATCCGGTACCTTGGGCGAAGATACACCTTCCTACTCACTGCCGTATTCCACATAGCCGGTTGGATTTTGATAGCCACGGGCAACACAGTCTGGATGCTACTGCTGGGCCGGACGTCCACGGGGCTGGCAACGGGTGTTGCTGCACTAGTCGTGCCAGTGTTCATCTCCGAGGTAACTATAGAGAACGTGTATTCTTCATGTCTAATGTTAAAGGTGTAATCTCGACTCGGAACAGCAGCATTTGATTGAATGTCATAACAGCCCTGAATGCGCCCAGCTTTGTGGTCAAACAAGATTTACTAGGACGTTTTAAAATGACCCTGCAACAATTTACCATGTAACCATTGAATGGCTTCATTAAAGGAGTTTATTGGCTCACTACTCGGCTGCTGAAAAATTTTTACAATGCGTCAAGTACCAGTGAAGTCATACAGATTTGTCGCACGCTGTTATTGCTTTCTCTTCTGGTTCCAACGAACGAAATTGAAATTGAGCAGAGAGGGCTGGCGCGGAGGAAGAACGATACGTCACAGGGTTGTCATGACCTAGAACACTTCTTGTTAAAGACGATAGTCTTTCTTGGGGGCCTTTGACGGAAAAATTTTGGTCTGTCTGTCTGTCTATCTATCTGTCTGCACATTTGTCTGTTTGTTCGCCCTTAACGATACTCCAAACGGCCGACCCCATCCGCAGCGCCCACCAATAGAGCTCAAGGTTCAGCGTTCATACTTGTGCGATTGTCAATTGAAAAGCAATTATTGGACATATGCGAGGCACCATAACAGCACGTCAATATTCTGTATGTGTGTTTTTTACTAGAAAAGGCATACATATATAATTCTAAGGACCGTAGCGCTTATCACGCTGCGCTGACCATTGAGTGCTTGCACGAAACGGCAAGTGTTTCCAACGCTTTGCTAAGACGACATGGTGGTGGCCCCTACCCGTCGCCTTGCGTTCTACACCTTATCGCCTCCGAGACGGGCGCGCACGCCGCGCGCTTTGTTTTCAATATAACTGCCAGATAGCGCTCATGTCTCACGTGTGACGTGACTTGCGCTCATTCGCCTCTGTTGCATGCTCAAAGCAAAGCAGGGCCACCAGAATACCATTCACCGATTTTCTTGCGCAGGACATCAAATAAACGCTTTGTTCACTCTCTCCAGACGCAAGATTATCGTCTTTCGACGACATTTGCAGTGTAACATTCAGATACGGGGCCATTTTTTTTTTGTCTTCAGGCGTGCTGCTTACCGCCTGTGTGATCGCGAACGGCAGCGTCATTTCTAAGGGGACAGCATGCAAAGAAACACCACGTACTTATATTTATATGCCTGTCAAAGAACCCCAGGAATCGAAAGTTCTCCCGGAGTGCCTTGCTGCAGGGTGTTTCATATTTATACCCTGGTTTTAGCACCTAAAACCCCAGCAACTCTTATTAATGGAAGGCAACGGCCAATAGTTTATTAATAGAAGCAACGCCCAGTAGTTGTATTTAACCATCATCTACCAAGAGCAGCTTCTAGATTTATCTGACGGATGGCTTCGCATTGTGGGAACCAGCTCGCCCCGGCTTCAAGTACGGAAACGAACGCGAAAGTAGCATGCGTGCGAGAGTGCGCACGCTACTTTCGGTCAGCAGCCAAGTACCTTAGCCCCAAGACTACCACGGTGGAGGGGCCCATCTGGTTTTAGTAGACAAAAAACATCTCGTTTTAGTAGACAAAAGTAGAGAAAGTTTGCCGATATCTTATGAGCATCTTGAGTACAAATATTGTAAAGAAGGATGCGCGATAAAATTATTCGTTTTATTCATTAACACAACTGCTTTGTGAAAGGAAACATAGCATGACGAGACTTCCACATGCAAGGGGTCGCAATTCCTGTTGATGGAAGGTTCAAGCTTCTAAGAAAAATGGGTCCTTCTGATACTGATTCGCACTTATGTATATAGTGTTCGCTTCTCAGAACAAATGACAAATCTGACCAACGCAAAACGATCCCAACTCCCCCTTCTGACAGGGTATAGACGCGCTCAAAATTGTCCATGGTCTCCTATATTGGCCGGCAGCATGGCGCTGCCGGCAATCTGAAAGGCCATGAAGTACGGGGTTTACAGCCACCAAAGACGGACCAGTAAGGAAAAGCACCTAGGAGTAAGATACAGCGCTGCAATCGGTCCGATAGATGAATCAAGGCTTGTGAATGCATCTCAGAGCGTGTTCAATTTTCTTGTCTGCAGGTGAGTCCCAAAGAAGTACGAGGTCTTATGGACACCGTCTGCACGATGGCAATCACTTTCGGTATCCTAATGGCCTACGTCATAGGCAAGTGGTGTCAATATGAAGTGCTGGCAGCATTCTGCATCATTCCACCGGTCATTATGGCCGTCCTCTTGCCCATGCTTGCCGGATCTCCCCGCTGGTTGCTGCAGGTGGGACGACAGGATTCGGCGCTCAGGTGAGAGGACACTATGGCGAAGGCCTTAGATGCTTCATCAACTATGAAAATTGACCCCTGACGTCGACACGAATGATAAAAAAAAACATTATCGTGCGATGACGTCCCAAAATGACATCTTGACGTCATAGACCACAAAAACCTGTGATGCAATCATGACATCACAGACCACAAAAACCTTTGAAGCAATCATGACGTCACATTACGACCTCAATCTTTTGGCATCGTCGCTTGGTCATAGGACTGAGGGCTCATCTCGGAGGCACATGAGATGCAGTACGATTGCAATGCCTCGGTTCCCGGAGGAAATACAAATTCACGCTAGTTGCACAAAGCGTTCGGGTACGGGAGAATCAATGCATTTGAACGAGCATGCCAGTACGTTGCGTTTCGCCTTCAATTCATCCGAGAAAAACGCCTAAAGGAGCCCACGGGTTTTTGTTTGACCACAAAAATGGGGACAATCAACGTCTTTTCCTCTATCAAGAGACTATTATTAACTTACTTTTTGTCGGGTTCAGTGCAATGCGCTGGATGCATAAGAGTCGGATCACGGGAAGCTGGAGTAAATGAAAATTTTTAGTGCACACAGACAATGTTGGTAGGTCGTGCTTGGACGGTCATAACTTTTTAGTGTCACCACAGATTCTCCTTCTTCGTCTATTTATTCTTTTACAGCCCCTTTTTCTTTCCCCATTGAAGGGTAGCTAAACGAACAGTTCCTGTAGTTGACGTCCTTATATTTTATTCGCCGTTCTCTCCAGCTCATTGTCATTTATATAGTTTTTGGAGGATTGGGCATTCGCCTCAAACATTTCCTTTCCTCACCCCTTCATAAAATTCAGTCACAAATTCTATAGTGCGGGCATTGATTTCCGTTTCTTCTCGAGAGGACATTCTAATCATGACGTTATAACCATAACATACTGACCGTAAAGGGCGGTGAAGATTATCTTGCTTTATGCTCCGCAAACACGAAATTATGATAATCGTTATTGACTCACCAACAAAGCCTCAAGGTTAGCTGCACGACCTGGTTAGTTGTCATGTCAAACAACCAAAATTGAACTCGCTGCCTACAGCGCTTTCTTACTTCATGCGATGGGCTAAGTGGCGGTCCAATGACTTGTTTACGCTCATTATAATCTCACGCGTTCGTGTGCTGGGACCAGCTGTCCTGTATAAGCGAAATCTTACCACACCTCTTCACCTTCTAGAGCCCTCCAGTACTATCGGGGACCGGACGTGGCCGTAGAGTTCGGAGCCATGCATGAAGCAGTCACCGCCGACCTTGCATCCCCGTTGACCCTGGCCGAGCTGGCGAGACCCTGGGTGTACAAGCCGTTTCTGTGCACGCTGGGCGCCTTCTTCTTGCAGCAGTTCTCGGGCATCGTGGTCATGCTCTTCTACACCCAAGACATCTTCGCCACGGCCGGCACAGGCCTGTCGGCGGCCGACAGCACCATCGTCGTGGGCGCCGTGCAGGTGATCCTACATTTCCAGCTACTAAACGAAGGGCTGAAGAAAATTCACCGGCTTTTCGAACATAAAAAGGCAACATTGTTCCAAGTCTACGCTTTATGCGACGATTGTTTCGTGAAGAATCAGCGCGCTTGTGCGTGATCTTACACCGGGTTGGGAGCATAATCCGTATGCTGTTCAGAAAACTGTCAACCACGCCATCTTGTCAGCTGTCAGTTACCAGCTATCAGTCATCTGTCAGTTATTGGCTATCAGGGTGTATACGCCGTCACTTACTCGCTCGGATCACCAACCTGGCATAATTAAATACACCAAATGATATTGTACGCTTGGGTCTTTTTCTTACTATGCATTCACACGAGACTGATCCGATTCCAGCATTCGCCAAGCGCAAGGTCGAGCTAAGTCACTCCGTGAGGCAGCAGTGAAGGGAAAGAAGGGGGACATATATTATGATGAATCGACGCCACCTGAGTACACATGGCGCCGGTCACCGTATCACTTGCATCCTGTGCTTTTTCTGTCTGCTACTATGTATAATGTGTGCTAAATGCGAGCAGGAGCTAATGTATTTGCTCCCTGATTGATGACGGGATATCAGTCTCTCCACCCTTAAGGCGCGGATTAAATCGCAAATTGAGTGTAGTGAATCCCTTGTTTTAGCTATGTGGTTCAGCTTCCACTACGTTTCCCCGAGCAGAAAGCCTTTCTCTTTCAGGCAATTCGCTACTTTAGAAATCTGAGGAACGCGCATCAAGGCACAGTAATCAGGGTAATCCAAGTGCTACCTGAATGACTGAAGGGGCTCCTACCAGAGAGTTCCAATGAATGTCTTCGTTTCGTAAAATGAAGTATTTTGTTCAAGCTGTATACCCCCCTTTCTGGTCGCAGGTGGTGTGCGTAGGCCTTGCCACGCAGCTCACGGATCGCCTTGGTCGTCGGCCTCTTATGCTCTTCTCGACCACGGTGTCCGGCGTCAGCCTCGTCATCCTCGGCTGCTTCTACCACTTCAAGCGCACACTGGGCCCCAGCTTCGTGCACGCTTACGGCTGGCTGCCCCTGTTCTCCCTGTGTCTCTACTTTCTGGGCTTCTCCGTGGGCCTTAGCCCGGTGCCTTCGATACTGCTGGGCGAAATTCTACCGCTGAGGGTGAAGAGCGAAGCCGCCAGCTTGTTGATATTCTTCTACTTCTCCTGCGGCACGCTCGTCGCCAAGGAATACACCGACATGATGGCGTTGGTGGGCGAGGCCGGCGTCTACTGGTTCTACGCGAGCTTCATGGCCGCTGGCTTCGTACTTGTGGCCGTTTTCCTGCCGGAGACAAAAGGAAAGACTCTGGAAGAGATCCAAGAGATTTTTGGCTCACGGTGGTCCGAACACGAAGGACTCGACGACTAGCGTTTCGGTGTATCGCATCTTTCGAATCTTTCGAATGCGCACAGCGTGAAGACGAATTGACGAAGATTGGTGGCCACAACGTCACGATCGTCCTTTTGTGCTTTAAACACGAGCGAGAATCATTCCAAGAAGTTTAATCTAGTCCACATTTCTTGTTAGCTCAATCCTCTGGATGAAGTTTGCGCTTTCTCGTCAAGATTCCTCAGAAGGTGATGTTTACGGAAATCTCAGGGGCTTCTGCCGCGGTTTTCTAATGTATATACGAGAAGAATTGATGCGGGTACGTTTACCTCTGTGCTTTCATCGCAGTATTACGTGAACTGATGGGGAACGTTAACACCCACGCCTGTAGCCTCCGACTGATGAGCAGTCAAATGGGCGGACCACCTGCTCTAGCTTTGTTAACAGTCTATGCGCGTTGATTTTGTACACGACCTTATTATCTACGTTTGTGAAGCAAGAACTGTGGTGCTGCGAGAAAAGCAGTGTTATGTATCGCTTGTGCTTCCGACATTCCATATTAGAGGTGGTGCGGCCAAAGGTGGTGTTTATATGATCTAGCCACTGAAAACTTCTGCAGGACCTTACTACAATGGACGCCCCAAAACATATAGCTGCATAATTATGCTCGCAATTCTAATCAGAAGCGTATAAATTCGCTTCTTTTTCAAAAAGTCAAGAAAGAAAACTCCTGGAGACTCAGCAGCTCTGTTTTTTTTAATCTTCAAAAGAATACGTATCGCGATTTTGGATATTCACTTAAAGCTCATCGTGCGAGAGGACAGGGTGTCCTACCAACATTTTCACAGCAGGCTCCCTGGGCGCTGCCTTAATTCCCTTTGGGCTACGCTCAATGCGCATATAATCCCCCAGAAATGCAGTGCCGAGGCTGTGATTGTCACGTTTGTAATCTCGTGCGACCAGATGGAATGAAGGTGTTAGTTCTATTCTACAAAAGGCCTATGCACGCATGCGATAGAGTAGAGCGTTCGGTTTACAGACGTCATATCTGCGCGTCTTACAACGCTGTTATATTATCTACATCCTAAGCTCTACGCGAAAGTACCCGAACTGATCAAAGTTGAATGCAGTTTTGAATTTGCACAGGCAGCTCTCACAAGCTATCCGCTCTCGATTGGGAGAACAGCTTACATACTAGAGAACAAACAAACTGAGTAGTTCAGTGTATGCGATGAGCGGAGTGACAAGTTTTTAATGTTATCTAACAGAGAAGTAAAAGTAATGTTTGACACCTAGTTTCTGGCTTTTCATTGATTATTTGTTTTATTTCTACGGCAGCCGCAAATCAGAGTTCCATTAGTGTATCTCTGCGACTCATTCCATTACGATATCAATGGCTGGCTGCTTTCTTAAATTAGCTTTCGAACAATATCGGTATCCCGGCAAACTGTTCTCAAGTTATACTGACCCAACGAACCGCAAGATGGGGCTTTGCCGAGATACGGTGGTGCTTTAGTTTGGATTTGTGATGGTGCAGCTGATGACGGATTATCACGTAGCCTCACGCACGCCTTTGAATTTCCGGACATGTATTTGAACTTGAAATGGAGCCGGAAACTTATACATTTGCGGCTAAGTCATTTGAAAAGCTTGCCACAACATGGTTTATACATTTTTTTTTTGCACAACAAGCAGCAGAATTCAATCCGCGTGCGCTCCCCCTATTTGCCTGAAGCCTCCGCAATTCAGAAAAGAAAAAGACTGCTTCATTCAATATATACTAAAACATACGTGATTCCACGTTTATATATACTACTTCATGGGCACATCTATCATGTCTTTATTATTTCACCCATGTTCTTACACGACAAAAGGCATAAAATTTTCTTTGAATGTGCAAAATATAAGTAGAAGCGACTATAGCTTTTCATCCAATATCATCGCCCCGTATGCATAGTTAAGCACGTTCTAGATATTGTGATCACTGCATGTACTGATGCTTCTAAGCATGCCTGCGCAGGCTGTGTTTGAGATCGGCGCTGAACGCAGGTTGCTCGTGCGCGTAAAGCGTGCAACGTTCGATACTCTACTGTGTGTGTAGTAATTTTTGATAAAATTTCACCTTCCTGATACTTTCGTTTTGCGAAAGCTTGTGTGACAGGCTACTATTATAAATTTACGCGTCCTATTCAACGCGTTTCAAAAAAAAAAAAACAGTGATTTACTGCTGGCATCCCTTGTTTACATTTAATTTTATCAAGCTCACTGTACTTCACGTGTGTCAGTGAATACGTGAAATATGTTTTAACTGTATACGGAAGCACTCGTATAACGAATCTTGCAGAAGTCAATCACTGTTCGTTCGAGTCGCTGGTTTTGTGCATTCTAGCTAATGCACGAATTACACGGACCGACGAAATCTTTGTAATGGTAACACTTTCATGCTGGGCATACCTGGATTTCGATCTCTTGCAAAAGTATACATCGGCTTTGATTTGCGTATAACTACCGATGATTGACACTTACATCTTCTTTTCATAAACTAGAGCACTACACGCACAATGTTTCCCTATCAACTCGCCGTTAAGGAGCCGCAAGTATAAAAGGGGCTCATTCGAGAGTTCCCTTTATGAGACTGTTAACAGCAGACAGTACAGTACATTTGCATTGTTAAGAATCGCCGCAAGTATGTTTTCTCTATGCAGCAATTTTTTAAAATTATTTGTGTACTATTGTTTCAAACGGCTCATCATAGGTCAATGGCTGCCAATACATACGTTCATAGCTCTAATTAAAAGATGTGTGTCTTTACCTTTAATTCCCTGCATTGCCAAATGCGGAGCTTTTCATAATAAAACGGGTATTTGCTGCCACTGCTGATTGCACTCGAAGTACGTTGTCTTTTGTTTTCTTCAGCCGGGTTACATGACGCACTGCTTAGTACACACGCTGAACCGGCTGCACACTTAGGCCTGATAGTCCAAACAACGTTGCAGCAAAAGAGCGCGTACCTAGCCTTAGTGAGGTACAGTCCAGATCATTGGAACGGAACTGTTACCGAGCGATTACCGCTCACTTGATTGCAAACATACTGTTGACTTGAGAACGGCGCGCTTTCTTCAAGAGACGTCCTGCTAAAAGCATTCAGGCAAGCTGGTGCCACATTGCCTCACCTTACTCTGTGCCCGTATCACGTTACGTTCCTTACATATAGCGTAACAGGAAACCTACAGCACGCACCCAGTTAGGGTGCATCTGCCACACGACATTCCTACTGGTAAGTATCACAACCTTCTCGGTGCCCTTGTCAAAGGGTGAAGCCACAGTTACACTTCATTTTGATAAAGTGGTATTTTGCATGAATACTCCAGCTGCGCGCGTTTGCCAAGCTTAGAGACCAATCACAGAGTAAGCTAGATGACACAGCCAGATAAAATACCCATTATCTAACGCCCCTGCTAACTTTAGCCAACGTACTGTTTCTTTCATTATTTAGTTGGTTTTTCTCATTATCTAAAGTGGCTGATGTCCTCAGACCTCTACGAAAACCAGCAACAAGTGTAGTTGCATGCAATACCTCACCCAGGTGCACGAAGTGCGAAAGACTACGGAGTGAATGCTGATGAGTGGGGCGACGCGCCCCTGCGTTCGTCCGTGCGATCGCCCGTCCATACGGCTGTCCGACCGTAACTCGGGATCCTGCCGACGAGCACGAGCCGCAGCGGCCTTTCGTACCCGGCACTCCACGTTGTCCACGGTCCGTCAAGCAGCACGATCCGGCACGCGCACTCATACGGCGACGATCCAGGAGAATGAGATAACAGGCGCACAGGCGGAGCCCCAAGCAGCAGTCAATCGGAGTGCAGCTGCACCGCCAACGCCATCTAGCGTACCTTTACCCAACCGTCACATTGTGCGCATCTCTAGAGTTACTGTATATGCTACCGTAGCGTAGAGTTACTGTATATGCTAGCATATACAGTGACTCTACGCTGGATGAATGGATGGATGGATTGAAATGGCTGTACCCTTTAGATCGGGCGGTGGCTTGCGCCACCAAGCCGTAATACTCAGTGGACCAAACGCTAGATTATTTTTTTCCCTTTAAATAGTGAAGTTGGGGACTCGTACTTTGCAGTGAAGGGTTTAATTTTCACTCGTGCCTTGACTTTAGCCACCAATCAGATAACCTCCTTCTAGTTAATTCTACCCACTTAGAGTCTATTTTGCCCTCCCTGTCCCTAAACCTCAGTGCCTTGAAAAACTCTGCGCCATCATCCTGAACTATAGCGTGAAGCCCTTTACAGAACATTATCAAGTGTTCGGCAGTTTCCTCTTCCTCTCCACACGCACTGCCCACCGTGTCTACCACTTCGTATTTGGCCCGATATGTCCTGGTTCGCAATACTCTCGTCCTGGCCTCAAACAGTAAAGAACTACCCCGAGTACTATCATAGATCCTGTCCTTGGCAATTTTCTGCTTAAAAGTTCGAAGCATCTCTAGTGCGGACTTCTTAATCATGCCAATTCTCCACACATCGGTCTCAGCTTTCTCCGCCTTCTTCAGAACCGATAATTCTTTTTGGTTTGGACCCCTGCTGTTTTCTAAGTATTTACCAGTCAATTTTCTGGTTCGCTTCCTCCATTTTCTATCGACATTCTTCATGCACAAGTAGCTGACTACCTTCCTAGCACAACGCTCCTCCCCATTTCTCTCAATCGCTTATCAAGTTTTATCTTGCTGCTAGCTTCCCTACCCTCAAATGATGTCCATTCCATATCACCTTCTACTCCCTGATTTGGTGTATTCGCGTGAGCTCCTAAGGCAAACCTACATATTCCACGTTGCTTAATTTCTAATCTTGCTTGAACTTCTCATCTCATGCACAAGACCGCATTGCCGAACGTCAGACCAGGAATCACGACCCCTTTCCATATTCCTCTCACAACATACTTATTGTAATTCCACAGTGCCGTGTTTTTCATTACCGCTGCATTCCTGTTACCTTTATTCGTCACGTATATTTCGTGCTCCTTTA